TTATGTCTTTATTATTTTAGGTACGTTTTTATTATTTGGGAGATTGTCAGAAAAGTATAGAACATAAAGTATTGGGGATTAACCCTAAGAATTTTTAATGATTAGTGAGAGCTAATTTGTTTATTCATTGATTTTTTTTTTTTTTTTTTTTTTGGTTAAAAATAATCTTAGTTTTTATTTTGCTTGCAGAAAAAAAGACCAAATGGCAAAGCAACCTTCCGATGTAAGTTCTGAGTGTGACCGAGAAGGTAGACAATTGCAGCCTGCGGAGAGACCTCCCCAGCTCAGACCTGGGGCCCCTACCTCCCTACAGACAGAGCCACAAGGTAATCCCGAAGGCAATCACGGAGGTGAAGGGGACAGCTGCCCCCACGGCAGCCCTCAGGGCCCGCTGGCCCCACCGGCCAGCCCTGGCCCTTTTGCTACCAGATCCCCGCTTTTCATCTTTGTGAGAAGATCCTCCGTGCTGTCTCGATCCTCCAGTGGGTATTTCTCTTTTGACACAGACAGGAGCCCAGCACCCATGAGTTGTGACAAATCAACACAAACCCCAAGTCCTACTTGCCAGGCCTTCAACCACTATCTCAGTGCAATGGGTAAGCAATGCCCGGGTAAGAAGCACTTGATGTGTGGATGGTTGAATCTGCTTGAAGGCTGTGTGTGGCAACTAAAATCCCCTTTTAAAACCCTGTAACTGATGTATTCCATGTTTTGATGGGAGTGGAGGATATGTCAAACTGTCAAACCAACATTTTTTAAACATTAAATTTTGTGGCAGTGATGAGTTCAGGTCAAAACATTAGGTTTCAGGTGTGACTTCATTTTAAGCTGAAGTGTGTAACCACGACATCTTGTTTTAACCACCAGGCTTTACATAGTGATGATATTTTGCTTGAAAAGGACATGATCATTTATAGAAAATTAATAGCTTACTAATCAAAAGTGTGAAGAGAGATGACAATTATTTTTGAAAATGATTCTTTTTTTTTTTTTTTTTTTTTTTTTTTGAGACGGAGTTTCACTCATGTTACCCAGGCTGGAGTGCAATGGCGCGATCTCGGTTCACCGCAACCTCCGCCTCTTGGGTTCAGGCAATTCTTCTGCCTCAGCCTCCTGAGTAGCTGGTATTACAGGCACGTGCCACCATGCCCAGCTAATTTTTTGTATTTTTAGTAGAGACGGGGTTTCACCATGTTGACCAGGATGGTCTCGATCTCTTGACCTCGTGATCCACCCGCCTCGGCCTCCCAAAGTGCTGGGATTACAGGCTTGAGCCACCGCGAAAATGACACTTTAAAAAAAATGAACTAGTTCATAAAAGCAGTACCACCATAGAACCATGAAAATGGTTTGTTTTCTGCTTAAATTCCTCTTTGGACTTACTGCTCAAAGGGTTCGGACATAGTACTGATCAGATTAGGTTGTAGGTTTTTATTTCAGGAATTGAAGGCAGTTGTAGGGTTTGAACCAAGAGTGGCTAATATAAATACAGAGAGGCCAACAGCAAAATCATGGAAGGAACGGACCTGGTGGAGACTGGTAAACTGGAGAGTATTTGCCCCTCCCTGTTTGGGCCATGCCTAATTGTGGCTGTGAGGGCATGTGGTCTCAGGGTGGTGGGTTTTCCTATATTGCAAGATAACCCAGTAATGCAAAATTGTTGCCAGATACCCTTTTTCAACATTGACAACTAATTTAGATCTTTGAAAACATTGTACAAGCTGAAAAGAAATATCTGCAGGCTTGATTTGGCCCTTGAGCCTGTGACTTTGGGTACATAGAGTCCTGGTAACCCTGGTGAGGGGCTGAGTCTGTGTTGATTAACATGCTGTTCCCCACCAATGGAAAAGGGTCACGTCTTGATCATTAGTCACCACAATCACATTGACCATTTGTCCAGATTAGCTTGCCGTACATGAACAAGATAGAAGTAATTTGGTAGTTATCAGGAAATCCAGTACAGAGTTTTTTAAGTTTAGATTGTACTTCATGATGAAGGCTAACTCAACAAAGTCATCAAATTTGACAGTGGAACAAAGTGATATTTCTAAATACCATTCAGCTCTGTCTTCATAGGCTTCAGTGAGGTAAATCAGGCGGACCGTTGCCAATGTTACAGAGTTGGAAAGAACCTCAGAGTCACTTGTCAGAGGTTGGGCACACCTGTGAAGTGGTGGACAGAAACGACAAACGTCCCAGCAGCTGCACAGGTTGGCTGCATATCTCCTGCTACCTTCTAGCTCCTTTCCCTAAAAGTACTTTTTTAGGGCCCATCCTTAGGGAAAGGAGCTAGAAGTTTTATTATTGCTGGTATTACTGCTCATGAACTCATTTCAGCCTTAGAAGTTCTTAGTGCTTGTAACTGTTCTACTCGTGAAAATGTTATCCCATATATATGAACTTGCTTGCTTACTAAATGAGTTAACAGGGCTCTGTGGTAAATATGCTCTTTAAAGACCTTCTGGAAGCTAGTATCACTTTTCACACTTTCACAGCAGAAGCTTCACACTTGCGGTTATTAAGCTATTTTCTCTAAATAACCAGGTCCTTTTCAAGCAAAATGCATACATTGGTCTCTAGGTGGTGGCTTAATGCATGGAAATAGTTTCTCTTTCCCTGAAACTAGGAATAGTGGGTGAGATAGTGTATTTTTTTTAATGTAAAGACAGGCATGAATTTTTTTTTTGGTGATAAATACTATTTTACAAGCTAATTATAAGTTAAGTACTGTTACTTGTGTTGAAAGATAGGGCTTCAAAGATAATCTAAATTTTTATGCACAGCTAATGGTTATATCTGTGAAGTGAAGTCATGGATCCTGAGGTATAATTTTATAGTATTAGCTACATTTCAGTAGATGGTGTGATGAAGAGTTTAATGCATAGGATTAAATGAGAAGTTACAAAGTTTGTTTAAAGTTAATGTACCAAGGTAAGTTTTCAGTGTTAAGTTTTTGGGAGATTTGTTTTGGAAGAGGATGAGTTGGGGTTCAGGGAGGAAAGGACTTATCCAGATGTGAGTTTCTTAAATTGAAACATAAAATTTACAATTTTTGTTGTATGTAATTAACTTTTCTTTGGCCATTCTACAATCTTAGCTCATGCCTGAAGACCACTGAAATAATGCTGACTTGATAAGTGGTTCTCTTGACTTTGTTTAGTATTTTTACCCAGCCCTATCTGTGAAGTTCTTCAATGAAGCTTTTGATAATTTAATGCAAAATACATTTTCCACAAAGAAGTCATTATGATTGGTTTGAACTAGTGGAACACAAATGTGAGGTTATAAAGAGGTTTGCCTTAGCCAAGGGCTCCTTTCGCCACAAAATAGTTTTTTGCTCAGCAACTTGGGGTAGAGAGTGCATCTTGAAGTTTTGTTTTGCATCTTTGTTCTAATGAGAAAGTAAAGTCCTATGTGGAATGCATAGTAGTTAAGTGTACTAACAGTGTTTTCATATTTTCCTTTATGTCTCTAATTTTTCCAAAGACAGGTTCAAAGAATATGTTTATCTGTGGAACAACAGATACAGTTTTTACACTTTTCCTCAATTTTAGTCTCCTTACACTCTGGGAGGATTAACTTGAAAAATGATGTCTTAGTGAATAACTGATTATTTTTATTAAAATCACTCACGTGTCTGTTTACTGAGTGCCTTTTTGGATGAGTGTTTTATGCCATATGTGTTTTTAATGCAAATTAAAGTATAGTCAGTACAGTTGGAAATACGAGTTGAGAAAGGTGAGGTTATAGAGGAATGCTCCCTCATGTCATGTTAGTAAATGCCTTAAACTTTCTACTTGTTCCCTGGCACATCGGAATTCACAGATGGAAGATAATGGCTTTCTTTTTTGCACCCCTCGGAGTCTTGTGGGTACTTCTCTTATAGCTGGTAATTGTCTGGCCCCTCTTTTAGTTTGTGAGCTTCCTGGGCGGGGCATGATGTCCTGTAAATGCTAGTGAGTGCCTGACAAAGGGAAGCCCAGGAGATGTTGCAACTCAATCCAGCTCTGCCTGTTGGCCTTTCCAAGGAGCTCAGTTAAAAACGGAGGACAAATAAAGTTTAAGCAGCCAAGTAGCAAGAGAAAGATCATGACTTCTGCTCTGCCAAAATGTTTTTCATGACCTGGATCTAGCTGTAAGTTTTGCCATGTAGGGGTGACAGCCCAGCAGGAAAGCCACACATGCATTAAGCACTTGACGTAGGACTAGTCTGAACTGAGTTGTGCAGTCAGTGTTGATACATACTAGATTTTGAGGACATAAAAAAGAATGAAAAATAGTTGAATTGTTTTCATATGGGTTACATGTTGAAATGGTATTTTAAATATATAAGTTAAATATAAACTTGTATTGCAGTTTAAAAAAATACAAAACATAAAATTTACCATCTAAACCATTTATTTCTAAGTGTACGGTTCAGAGTGTTAAGTGCACTCATTTTGTTGTGCAGCCAATCACCTTGTGAAGAAACAGAAATGCCATACTCATTAAACAACTCCCCATTTCCCCCTCCCCCAGCTTCTGACAACCATCATTCTGTTTTCTGTCTATTCATTTGACAACTTTAGGTACCTTACATAAGTGAAATTTATACAGTATTTGCCCTTCTATGACTGGCTTATTTCACAATGTCCTCAAGTTTCTTTTATCTTGTAGCATGTCAAATTTCCTTCCTTTTTAAGGATGAAAGGTTGTTCCAGTGTGTGCCTATCACACATTTCGTTCATCCATTCATACATCAGGGGACACTTGCATTACTTCCACTTTTTGGTTATTATGAGTAGTGCTACTATGAACATGGGCATGCAAATATCTTTTGGGGATTCTGTTTTGAATTTTTTTGGATATATACTTGGAAGTGGAATTGCTGGATCACATGATAATTCTCTTTTTAATTTTAATGGGAACCATCATGCTGTTTTCCATAGAGGCTGTGCCATTTTACATTCCCACCAACAGTGTACAACGGTTCCAATTTCTCTACCTACTCACCAACACTATTTTTTTTTTAACAGTAGTCATCTGAATGGATATGAGGTGATATTTCATTGTGGTTTAGGTTTATATTTACCTTCTTTGATTTGTATGGCCACCACCACAGTCAAGGTACAGAACAACTCCATCACAAGTATTTCTCATGATACCTTTTTATAGCCACAGCCACCTCTCTCCCTCTTGCTTGAGCATCTTGTCATATGTTCATTGGTGATTAAATAAAATATATTTTAATATTGACTTTCTCTGTTTCTTTTTACCTTTTTAAACGTGGCTACTAGAAAAATGCAAAATTAGATCTATGGGTAGTGTTCTGTTTCATCTAAACAGGCTGGCCTCAGAGAGAGGAGCTAGAGTGTACAGTGCTGCTCTAGCAAGCAGGACTTGACTCTTCCCACTCAGGCCACGTAATTTCCATGAAGCTTACTCCTTGGGTTGTTTGATTGACTTAGGAGAAAGAAAGTGATTAGCCAAATCTTGTGAGCATTTTAAACATTAAATGAGCATTGTAAACAGCAGTATACCGACTTTTGTTTTACCACTAAACTCCATCGTATATTTGGACTTCAGAAAGTAGATGGTAGAGCACATGCTTCCTCAGCACCCCCAGGCTACCCAGAAGCTCACAATACAGGTGTTTTTGAGAGAGTCCCAGCTCTGTCTCTGAAGCCCCATAGTCACTTGTTTGACACCAGGAGAAATAAGGAAGCTTCTTAAGTCCTAAGTGGGGAGAGAAAATGCTAAAAGAGAAAGATTTTTTTTTCTTTTTACCAGTTCCAAACACAATTTAGTAATTGTTAGTTACCCAGTTTTAAATTTATATCTTTCAAAAAAATTTTTTCAGGTAATTATAGATTCACATACGTTTATGGGAAATAACACAAAGAAATCATATATACCATTTACCCGGTTTCCCACAATGGTAACATCTTACCTAATTATAGTATACTGTCACAACCAGCAGTTGACATTAACAGAACCCATCTACTGTGTTCAGATTTCTTCAGTTTCACATTTAGTCCGTTTTATTTGTCTGTGTATGTGTAGATACTACTATTAAGTTTTATCAAATGGGTAGATTTGTGTGGCTACCACCAGTCAAGATACAGAACACCACCACAAGGATTTCTCATGATACCTTTTTATAGCCACAGCCAACTTCTCCCTCTTCCTTAACCCTGATAACCACTCATCTGATCGACATGTCTGTACTTCTGTCATTTTCAAGGATGCTATATAAGTACAATCATACTGAATATGACCTTTTGAGATTGGCTTTTTTCACTTGGCGTAATTCCCTTGAAATCTGAGAGTTGTGTATTAATAGTGCCTTCTTTTTTATTGCTAAGTAGTATTCCATAGCATGATGCATTACAATTTGTTTATGCACCTGTTGATGGATACTGTGTTTGCATGTTCTGGCAAGGCCCTGGCACAGCTGGAACTTAGGGGGAGGATTAAAAGTATTTATTGTAATTGTACTTTATTTTTATATATATTTTTTGAGACGGAGTCTCACTCTGTCGCCCAGGCTGGAGTTTGCTTTTGGGATCTTGGCTCACTGCAACCTCCAACTCCTCGGTTCAAGCGATTCTCCTGCCTCAACCTCCCAAGTAGCTGTGATTACAGACATGCACCACCACACCTTGCTAATTTTTATATTTTTAGTAGAGATGGGGTTTCACCATGTTGGCAAGGCTGGTCTTGAATTCCTGACCTCAGGTGATCTGTCTGCCTTGGTCTCCCAAAGTGCTGGGATTACAGGAGTGAGCCCCCACACCTGGCCCTACTTTTAATATTTATGTGTTCATTTGTAGTGTATAGAAATACAATTGATTTTTGTATGTTCGTCTTCTGTTGTGCAGTTTGCTCAACTTCTTCATTCTAAGAGTTTTTCCATACATTTCCTGGGAGATGTATATAGTCATGTGATCTGCAGTAGGGACAGTTTTATGTCTTCTTTCTGATCTGTGTACATTTCTTTTTCTTGCCCAGTTGCACCTGCTACAACTTCTAGTGTTTATGTTCACTGGGAGTGGTGAGAGCAAACATCCACACCTTGTCCCCAATCTTAGAGGGAAAGCTTTCTGTTTTTAATAATTAAATATGATGTTAAGTATAGGTTTCATATGGATGCTTTTTAAAAGAATGAGGAAGTTTTAACCTGTATTCCCAGAATGCTAAGAGTTTTTGTCATAAATAGATGGTGGTTAGATTTTATAAAATGCTTCTGTATCAGTTGATATGATCCCATGATGTTAATTTATGTTAACCTGTTGATATGGTGCATTGCATTGATTTGCAATGTTAAGTCTCTCTTGGATGTCTGAGACAAATCCTGCTTGGGCATGGTCTGTGATTCTTTTCATCCATTGTGGTATTGAATTTGCTGATATTTTGCTTAGAGTATTTGTGCTTAAGTTCTTGAGAGGTGTCATTTTCTTTTAAGACTGTCTGTTTTTTATATCAGGACCTTAATTAGGAAGGGTTCTCTCTTTTATTTTCCGGAAGAGATTGTGTTAGAATTGGTATTGATTCTTCTCTCAATGTTTATAGAATTCTGTAGTCAAACTATCTAGGCCAGGAGATTTTTTGGTGGGGGAGCATTTAGATTATAGATTTTTTTTTTTTTTTTTTTTTACTATTTTTGTAGGACTGTTCAGGTTGTCTGTTTCATCCCAGTTGAGTTTTCATAGTTTATAACTTTTGAGGAATTGGTCCATTTCTTCTAAGTTACTGAATTTATGAATGTGAAAAGTATTTGTTGTAGTTTAATAATTTAATGGATGCAGGATCTGTTGTGAATAGCTCCTGCTTCATTTCTGATATTGATAATTTGTGTCTTTTTCATCTCTATCAGTCTTTCTGAAAGTTTATCAATTTTAATGATTTTTTAAACCAGTTTTTTGTTGCACTGATTTTTCTCCACTTTCCTATTTTTAATTTTATTATTTCCTTCTGCTTGTTTTATGCCAGGTTCTTTTTCTAGTTTCTTGAGGCAGAAACTTAGAATAGTGCTTTGAGACCTTTCCTCTCTTTTCTTGTTTTTTACTCAGAAAGAAACATTTAATAGGTATATACAAACAGAAACCCTATCTCGGGCAGCCTCAAGATGAGATGGTAGATCCCTGCATGGTTACCCCCCAGACCCAGGGCTTATGTGCCATAGGGAAAGAATATATATGCTTCAGAAGAGATGTATAGAACAGTTGCTTAAGGCCAAGAATTATGGTAAGTAAGATAATATCAAAGTTGTTTCAACCTAAGGACAGGATGGATGGTAAGTATATGCTTGTACCCAAGGAACAGTAGATAAAACAGAAATCTTGGAGGCATTCCCAAAACCAGAGTTAATCAGAAGTCAATACAGCAGATTAGCATCCAAGATGGAGTTGCTTTGGCTTCCACACTCTAGCCCCCAATCTGGCTCTTATAGTCTCGTATGCCTTGCTCTTCTGCCATGGTCCCTGAGCCTTTAGTGGGTGTGCTTCATATTGCATAGCTTTACCAGTAGTGCCTTGGCAGTGGAAAATAGATCGGGCACAGTGGGATTCCAAATGAGGGAGATTCTCAGGCTTTGTCAAATCATCTGTAGTCCTCAGAATACCAGAATTCTGGTTTTCTTGGAAGAAGTAAAATGAGATAAACACTGTTAATATGCGCACAAAGATTATAATGAAAAAAAAAATAATTTTAACATGGTTCTTCTTTAGAGACTTGTAGCTAAGAGATAATTCAGGATGCATTTTGAAATACAGTCAAATAATAACTCAAAAATAATGGTTAGGGCTAGAATTTGATAACAGGCATACAATAGTTTTCTTTGGAACATATTTTTTTCTCTCCAGTTTCCTCATTTCCACCAAGGACCAATTTATTTGCAAAATAAATTTTAGTCTCATTATACTTAGCCTGATTAGTTGCATAAAGTGCAGCAAGAATAGTGATTGGCCATATAGGCTTTTCTTAAGTTGGCTTTGTTGGAATGTTTTTCATAAGGAATCTCAGATTAGACTTTTACAGGCTTCCATGCTAAAAAGCCAAGCTGAAAATTTGCCTCCAAATATTGCCTGTAATACCTCCAAATTGGATGAATTCCTTTCTTCTGGAGGTCCCAAAGTACCTCGAGGTTCCTGGGCCTGTCAGAAAATGATATTCTTTACTTATCCAAGGTCAGGAACCTTGTAAGGGAACTATGTAGACAAGTTACCAGGCCTGTCTTTTCAAGGGGCTTTTTATTCTTTAAAGCAATCTGGTCATATCTGAAAATATGCCATTTGAGTCAAAGGCTTGGTAAAATAACCAGCGTCTCCAATTGCGTATGGAACATAGTCTATGCAATTTCAGTGCTTTTAAATGTGTCAAGGTTTGTTTTGTAGCTCGGGATATGGTCTATTTTGGTGACTATTACAAAAGAAAACAGAGTCTTACTGAACTGATGGAAATAATTGTATTGCCATCAAGTAAGAATACTCATGAGTAGTCTCCAAATTTTGGAGCACTCAGAGAGAGGCAAATTTTGCTCACAAAAGTATACTTTACTCAGTCATAAGCTATAAATAACTCAAAAGCAAAAGGATTTTCTTCAATCAGAATGGTGGCTTTCCAAGCAGGATGCTGTCCATTCACCTTAGAGCTGCCATCCACAAACCAGACAGCTCTTGGTCAGTCAGGTGAGAGCTGTCTTTCAGGTGCTGTAGAATCCAGCAGCTCCTCACACAGTTCCAGAGTCGATTGAACAGAAGTCACATCTCAGGAGCAGAGCTGGTAGATTTTACCCCCTTTTGCTTTTCTAATGTAAGTGTTTAGTGCTAGAAATTTTCTTTTCATCACTGCTTAGCTGCATCCCACATGTTTTGGTATGTTATTTTTTCATTTTTATTGAGTTCTCTCTATATTTTTAAATTTCCTTTGACACTTCCTCTTTGACCCTGGGCTATTTAGAAGTGTGATTTATTCCTAAATCTGTGTAGACCATCCTGTTTTCTGTCTACTACTGTTTACTTTCTGATTCTCTTATGGTCAGAGAACATATTTTATACTATTTCAGTTTTATAAATGTGTGAAGATTTGTTTTGTAGCTCAGGATATGGTCTATTTTGGTGACTGATCCATGCATGGGTACTTGAAAAAAATCTGTATTCCGCTGCTATTGGGTAGAGTGTTTATTATATATCAGTCAGATCTTATTGGTTGATTGTGTTGTTCAGTTCTTCTCTGTCCCTGCTGATTTTTCTGTCTTGTTCTGTCAGTTGCTGAGAGTATGGTGCTGAAATCCCCAGCTCTTTCCTTTCAGCTCTATCAGAGTTTGCTTCATGTCTTTTGAGGTGCTGTTGTTTGGAGTTTACACATTTAAAATCATGATGTCTTCATGTTGGATCTGATCTTTTATCATTCCTATAAAATGTACTTTATCTGGTATTAATAGCCCTTCTGCTTTTTTAACATTAATCTACTAATGTTGACATAGTATTATCTTTCTCCATCCTTTCACTTTCAATCTTCATATGTTGTGTTTGAGGTAAGTTTTTTATGTATGGCATGTCTTTAGGTAAACCTGTTTTTTCTGGTCTGCCAGATATGTCTCTTATATGGTATAGACCATTTACATTTAAGAGAATATATATAAATCGAAGCGCCTTTTTATTATTTGTATTTTGTTTTCTTTGTTCCATGTTTTTTTGTTTTGTTTTTTAACCTTACTGTGGGTTATGTGAACCCTAGAGAATGTTCACATAACCCACAGTAAGATTAAAAATCTGGAAGTTCAGATTCCTCCTTGGCTTTGCTGGAGGAATTTTGATTTGTTGTATTTTAAAATATTGATCTGTATCATTTTCTTAGTTGCCGTTCCAGGTATTACAGTATATCTGTGGAATATACAGTATTTTAAATCTACTGGTGTGAATGGTCCCAGCATTTTATGACTAGACTGAAGAATAGAAACCTTACTTTTCTAGATTCCTTTAGCCCCATGTTTCAAATAAAATTGTCTTAAGTATTTCCTCCACGAGCATTGAGCACTTGTATGAGCTAGTGTTGTCATTTTTGCTTGAGCCATATGATTTAAGAAGTCGTAAGCAGTAGGCTAGTCTACTAATAGTTCCTCCCATTTTTCCCATTCCAGTTTCCTTTCTGAAGTTTTAAGTTTTCTTCT